CAAATGTAAATGAAAAATTAACAAACCTCAGCAATAACCAGATGCGGTGTAGAATCAAATCTGTGTTAAGAGCGTGCATATTGTGTCATCACAAGAAAGCCGGATTTTTTGTCGTTGACACAATTCTTTTAGTAGGAGTCGTACACAACCGCGGAACACAAAAGATTTTAAAAACAGTTTCTAATGGTAAACTTGTAAAAACAAAACATGCGGTATATATAGGAGACATTTAAAATACAACTGTTTTCGTTAACAAAATACTTAGGATTATATTTGGATTTTCAATAGAAATTGAATCGGTGTTTATAAATAACAAAAATGGCATATGGTAAGTGAACTATAACAGCCATATTCTACTTATACATTTATAGTAGACTTCTAATATGAACGAGAATTTCTACTAGGTCTAGGTATATGTTATAAGTGCTTAATTAAATTAGTCCTACAGTTCGTAAATTCCAAATAGTGAACTGAGAAAATAGGAGGAAAAACGTCTTCAAATCTTTATCATTTAATAGGTACGGAGGGAATGAATCTTAAAACGAATAAGAGCTATGAATAAAATGAAATGGGGTGATACGAGCCACGATAAGTACTTATTGAAGTGCGGAGCGAGTGAAGGGGCCACTACTCATCGACCTTTTAATTTCTAACTCAGCCTGATCGATAAGTATGTAGTGGGCTCTATGGGAAGCGAAAATTTAATCAAATTCTCTAATAAACTGGTTCTCTGTGCATTCATCTAAACAAATTAATGATGCAAGCGGATAGAGTGGGGTTGTAGATTTTTAATTGCTAGCAACCTCTTATAAGGTCATTTCGGCCTTTCATTAATATTATAAAAACACTAGTTATTGCTCGCGACTTCGTCATCGTGAAATTTAAAAATTAGCCTTTGTTACTCAGCGATAACGTAGCTTTCTAATGGTGAAAAATTTTTTAAATCAGCCCAGTAGTTTTTAAACACATTAGCAAATGATATTCCGATTTTTAACTGTTTTGGGTCTAATATCCAAGATCTTAATGTTATAACCAAATCTCTTTTACAGGTTGGTTGATTTTTCCATAACATTAACTATAAAAAAGTCATGTCATGTTAAA